TCACTTTCTGTCATGGTAACAAAATACCTAAGGCTGAGTACGTTATGAAAACAAAGGGGGGTTGGTTGTTGTTAGCTCACTGGTTTGGAAACTGGAAGACAAACAGTGTCACCTGCTCGGCCTCTCTGATGCCCCACCTCTGCCCCAAGTTGTGTCACAATAGGGTGAAAGGGAAAACAGCTGTGTATACATTGTATGATTGCAAAAAAAAGAGACATTTAGGGGCAGGTCTCCTGTGTTTAGAACAAATGACTCTCTCCAGAGACTCCAGGGAACTTCATGAGTCCCTTCTGAGAACAACATCCCAATGGCTTAATTGCCTTCTATCACATCCATCCTCTTACCGGCTCCACATCGCCTCCAACACGGACTTCTCAAGACCAAAGCTCCATCACATGAATATCTGTGAGCAGGTGCATGCAACCTACGTCAAAATCACAGCAACACGGTGGTGGAATAATACTTGGCTTCGAAAAGGACAGAAATTCAGACACCTGCTACAATGTGGCTGAACCCTAAGGATGATGTACTGAGCGAAATCAGTCAGTCCCGGAGGACTAGGAGTGTGATACCCATTTAACATGGTAGCTATGGCAGTCAAAGTGAGATGGTGATTGCCCTGGGGAGTGATTGTTGACAACTGTTCAATCTTAATGTAGAAAGATGAAAGAGTTCTAGAGATGGGTAATGGAGATAGTTGTACAACAGCACTGGACTCTGTGCTTAAAAGTGGTTAGGGTCTCGCGTGATACTGTAGTGGTTAGGGTCCTCGCTTTGTATGCACCAGGGTCCCATGTGGTCACCGGTTCTGGTCCCGGCAGCCCTGCTTCCCATCCAGCTCCCTGCTTGTGGCCTGGGACCCTGCACCCACATGGGAGACCCGGAGGAACTCCTGGCTCCTGGCTTTGGATTGGCTCAGCTCCAGCCGCTGCAGTCACTTGGGGAGTGGACCATTGGACGGAGGATCTTCCTCTCTGTCTCTCCTCCTTCTGTGTATCTGACTTTCCCATAAAAAATAAGTAAATCTTTAAAAAAAAAAAAAAAGATGTCATGTCTGGGATGTGAGGGAGATCTGGCTGCAACATCTGTCACCCCATTGATCGCCAGGGTTGATTTGACTGGTCTGGCTGGCTAAGCGAGTGTCCCCTTCCACCCTCACCGCTCCACGTGCGTCCCTCCTGAAGCTGCGCTGGGTCAAAGAGGACGACCATCCCCACTAGAGGAGGACCAGTCTTCGGTCAAGCGTATATGAGTAGCTGCTAGAACCTCCAAACAAGCTCTCAAGGTGTCAGGTCGGGTGTATTGGCTCAGCAGGTTGAAGTGCTCCTTGGGATGCCCAAGTGCTTGACTCAAGCCCCTGCTACTCATGCTTCTGACCCAGCTTCCTGCTAACGTGTCCAGGAGGTAGTAGATGAGAGCTCAAGTCTGTGGACTCTTGCTGCTCATGTTGGAGACCCAGCTGAAGCTTCCTCCTTCCACCTGGCCTGGCCCTCGCTGTTGCAAGCATTAAGGAGTGAAGCATCAGATAAAAGATCTGTGTGTGTGTGTGTGTGTGTGTGTGTGTGTGTGTGTGTGTGTGCCTTTCCCTCTCTGCCTTTCAGGTAAAGAATCTTCTGAAAGAGGTTAAATGCTAAATTTTATGCATGTTGTGCCATCATTTTTTAAGAAAAAGAGAAGTGAGCTCACAAGCTTACAAGCGTCTCCAGGGAACAGGAAAGCATCTCCGATGAGGAAACTAGAGAGACCACGGTGCTTGAGCTATTCAGAAAGGACAAACGTAGTCCCATGGTGTTAGCTGCCCCTCTGCATTGGGGCAGGAAGGCCAGCCGGGTGCATCAGACAGCCACTGTCTACAGCCCAGAGTGTGAAACATAGATGACTTAAAGAGAAGAGCCATGAAATACCTGGGGCTTTCAACATCTGGCAATGGCAGAGAAGGAACTTAGGGAATGAAAAGATGATTCAAGATGCAGAAAGTACTCAATATTGGATTTCAACTCCTGACTCCTCCCGGCTGATGTAGATTCTCCAAGGCGGGAGTGATGGTTCAAGTCATTGGATCCCTATCACTCACAAGAGGACCTGGGATGAGTTCCTGGATCAAGCCCTAGTTGCTGACATTTAGGGAGTGAGCCAGTGGATGCAAGCTCTCCCTCTCTTTCTCTTGTCTGTTCAAATATACATACATACATGTATATTATATATATGTATATTATATGTATATAATATATATATTATACGTTTTAAAAGGAAGAATTTTGCACATATTTCAAACATTTTGCACCAAAATAAACCTACATTGGTACGTGTAATTGTACATGTAACCTACATTGGTAGGTTCCCATCCTTCAGGGACTTGGCAAGTGCTCTCAGATACTGGTGACGCTGTCTCCACTGCTGTACTGAGGGTTGCTGTCGGGTATTGCTTCTGTATGGTAGCAGAAGATTTTCCAGACAAAGAATCCGGAGGCCTGGGTTTCAACCCCCGTGACATCACAAACCTGCCATTTTCCCTCTCTTCATCTGAAAATTCAAAAAAAATCTAGGATTTCCTAGAGCCCTACAGGTTCTAATATGCTGTTGTCTCATGTTTCCCTTCCATGAATACACAAACAACTCTGTGTAAGCACCTCCACCCACAGAAGTCCCATATCATTGGCACCACCTAGTTGATTGATGGGCTGAAGTACACTCATAAAGCCCGTGAAAACACATTCAAGGGCTCTTCAAAGACCGATTGTTGCAGATCTCACGGAGCAGTGGCACTTCAGTTGTGGCTGCACAATGCCAGCGATGAGTCAGCTCGATCCATTGAAACTCCAGAATGCAGGGAAAAAACTAATGTTGTTATTACATTCCAAATAAGCCCATCCATCGATCCCATTGTCCTAGCTGACTCGGAGAAGGGCCGGGGGAGTTTGTGAATGGAGCCATTTGATGCAGAAGAGGTCAAGCAGCTGACTGGTCCGATGGCAAAGGTTCTTTTGACAAACATTCATGGCAGCACTTTGTTCGAGGGTGTTCTCTGTTACCGTGAAAACCACAAAGCTATTGTATACATCACGGATGAAGACTGTTGATCTTGGACAATAGAGATTTGAAACAACTCTGGAAAACCAGTGTCCTCCCTGCCTAATGCACCTGGCTGGTCCGCATCTGAACTGTGGGTCCTTTTAAGGAAACTGAGGTAGAAGGTGAAGCATCTTCTTTAGATGGGGTGTACAGATGGAGAGCTGCTAAATGAAAACCCCTGACAGGGCACAAACAATGTGTGAAACCCGGGAGGCAGAAAAGTGTAGACCCGCTCAAGAATCAAGAAGACACTTATTGCAAGAAATTGGCAAGCAAGGAGGAGAATGAGGCCAAAGGCACTGAGGGCCCAAACATAAGGAGCTTTTGATGGCAACACAAGATTCAGATTGGACTCTCAGTGCAACGAGAAGCCACTGACAATCTTTGAGTCAATGAGAAGGAAGAGCTATGTCTGTTTCCAGTGTGGCCATATTGTGGTGATTCTACCTGTGCCAGCAGAGAAGATGCTTCAAAAAATCCTGTTTTACTTGCTTAAATGCATTGTTTTTCAAACTAGCTGGGCCATGCCTTCATCAGCATTGCATTACTTTAATAACTTCTATAGCCAAAAGAGGCTTCTTCAGGAAAAACGTTGATTTTTCGCCCACACTTGCCAAGTTCACAGCCCATCCTCAAGTGCCTCCATCGGTCCAGGCATCTTGTGAGACTGGCGGATGTTGAAGGGATGATTGCAGGATGAGCCAGGAAGCCTTGGGACAGGTTCACACCCTCTCCCCACCCATCACACGGCCTTTCCTTATAAAGCCATCATGATTCAATTACGGGGCCCCCACTCTAGCAACCCAATCCAATCCAATCACTCCCCAAAGCTTCCTCCTTCAGATGTCATAATTGGATAAAGCCTCAACCTAATGCATCCACCATTAACATCAATCTGTTAACCATTAACTAAGTCTTTGGGGTTCAGATGCCTGCATAAGTTGAGGCAGTCAAATCTCTCTTCTTCCACGGAAGACTTTGAATGTCTCTGATTTTGTTCAGCTGGGCACAGTGCCACATGGGTGATCATTTCCCTAGGAATTCTTTGTGGTTACAGTGTCTTGGGCATCCAAAGTCAATCTTGAATTCTTTCCAGATGATAAGAGGAAAAACAACAGTATCTGATATTATATGAGTGAGTAGATATTTTGTATTACCTCCCATCAGTTTCATTTTCAGGTACTCAAGCGGGGAGCTTTGGACATCTAGAAGTTTCCTAAAATCCTATCACTAGTCACGGGGAGTAGCATCAGAACAGGACTCGTAAGGCCTCATAATAAACACATCTCTGACAATTGCAACAATCAGTCTCAAAACCTTGACTTTCTCAACAGGCTTTATATGAGACTCATGGAGAATAATAATGTCTTCCTACAACACTGTTTTAATTTTCTTCTTTGAAAGACTGAGAGCTTCCTTAGCAATGAATTTGCACAAAACAGGCTGTAGTTCATGCTTTCTGGTGAGTTCCTTAATGGTATGTGTTAGATATGGCTTCTCTTGATGAAGACTCACTGGATTTGCATTGTTACATACTGAAAGGCGGTGTGGCCTTTAGGAAAAAACACCCACATGAATGAGTAATGTCACTCTGGACTTCCGTGGGAGTGAGTTAATTCCCATAGGATCGGGTCAGATACCCCAAGAGTCAGTTGTTGAAAAGCATGGTTATGTTGTTCCATAGAGGATAAAGTCACCTCTAGCAAAGCTGGCATCCCATACGGACAATGTCTCAAGCAGTGTCTGAAGTTCTGACTGTTCCACTTGGGTTCTAGCTTCCCACTAATGCTCCTGGGAAAGCAGCAGAAAATGGTCTGAGTGCTTGGGCCAGTGCCTCTCAAAGTGGGAGATCAGGATGAAGTTCTTCCCTCCTGAATTTGTTTTGGCCCAGCCCTGGCCATTTTGGTCCTTTTAGGAGTGAATAAGCAGTGCTTACTTCAGCAGCACATACACTAAAAGTGGAACAATACAGAGAAGATTAGCACGGCCCCTGCGCAAGGATGGCAAGCAAATTCATGAAGTGATCTATATTTTTTTAAAAACATTAAAAATAAATAAAGAGGAGTGAACCAGCAGATGGGAGACCTCTCTGCCTCTCACTTTCTCTATTTTGACTTCCAAATAAATAAACCTTCTCTTAAAAAGCCTATCTTGAAACAAAATACATTTTTTTCTAAGAAGCTGACTATTTGAACAGGTAAGTCATGAGAGAGAAAATAGAAATAACCCAAAAAGTCACAAAAAGATACTCCATTCACAGTTTGAAATGATAAGTAAGCAGAGTAGAAAGATATTATTCTGCTTGACCCAATTATAGTGTCTCCTGGGAAAAGCTCCACCCCAAACCACGTATTCCCCAGAAACATATTGTTGTCCTCACTGGACATCAGGATGGACTTGAAACTCGAGCTGGATAAGCTAGGATCTTCCCAAGAATTTTGATTTTAACAGGAGCTGACAAGATAAGAAGCCACTCTTTGCTCTGTATTCATGTCACCAAAGTCCTTGGGACTAGAACTTTTCCCAGACCCATCTACATGCTGTGTTTTCCCTGGAGACACACACATGCCTGTTTTCATTCACTGGTCAACATGGGCCAAGCAGCAAGCCAATGCGACTACATATCATATGCAGAGTTGGATGACTGATTTATGACATTTGCATTGGCCATTCCGACTGTCATCAAATCCTGCTCAATTCCCTTGCTCTTGCCTTTGATACCTGAGCCAGTTCCCCACTCTCTTTGAAGCTAACATAGGTTTTTATAACTTGCAACTGGAATTCTGACTCATAGGGTAAGTAAACAGAGCACATTGTATCTGTGAAACTGATAAAGATTTACAAGAGTGGCGAAATCCAGCTTTGATGAAGATCTGACATAGCAGGACCCCAACTGTGGGAAGAATGGGTACACTGTCCCTGAAAGCAGTTCCATGTGTATACATCTTGACTCAGAAATCTTGATCGATGCATTCAGCATTGGGAACCAGCTGGAAAGTGTGTAACCTGTACATGCAAGCATAACAAGCGTAGCACAAGGTTGGGAACCATCATCAGGGGAATTGTTACGTAAACCCTGGAGTGGGGAATCCTGGACAATCATTTCAAATGACCTTTTTGTGACAGAGAAAGATGCTCAGGTCATTTTATAGGATGAAAAGTAAAAGTTTAGTAGGGTGATTTTTAGGGAATGATCCTTGACACAATTGTCTGAGTACTTCACAAACACAATGGATCTTCATTTGGGCCCAGAAATACCTACTTCCTATCCTGGCCTAAGGTAGTATGTCCCATTATCCTAAGTGGAAAGAGCACCTAAAATAGACTTAAATTGAGTAATAAATATACCACTTATGATAATTTTGAAATAAATATGCTAATGTAATGTAAAAGAGACCAAATCTTGTTTTACTAGGTAATATACACCTACAATTGCATGCTACACAGCTTTTAGTGTTACCTGAATGAACAGTACGTTACTAAAAAAGAATTGAATGTGCCCAATTAAAAGAAACCTCAAAAACAAAAATAGGGCCCCGGCGCGGTGGCGCAAGTGGTTAAAGGTCCTCGCCTTGCACGCCCGGGATCCCATATGGGCGCCGGTTCTAATCCCGGCAGCCCCTCTTCCCTTCCAGCTCCCTGCCTGTGGCCTGGGAAAGCAGTCGAGGATGGCCCAAAGTTTTGGGACCCTGCACCCGCGTGGGAGACCCGGAAGAGGCTCCTGGCTTCGGATCGGCATAGCATCGGCCCGTTGCGCGCACTTGGGGAGTGAATCATCGGACGGAAGATCTTCCTCTCTGTCTCTCCTTTCTGTATATCCGTCTTTCCAATGAAAAAATAATAAAAATAAATCTTTAAAAAAAAAACACAAAAATAAAACACATGTAAATCAAAAAGAAAGAGATCTTCAAAAAGTTTGTGGGAAAAGAATATTGTGAAAAATTGTGTGGATTTCAATTATTTGCACTAAAACATACATCTTTTATAAATGTTTATTCCCATTTTCTTTGAAAGGCAAAGATGCAGAAAGAGAGGCTTATTGGTCCACTCTCCAAAAGCCAAGAGCTGCAAGGGCTGGGCCCAGCTGAAGCTAGGAGCCCAGAACTCTAGCTGGGTGTCGCACGGGACTGGGGATCAGTGTCTGTGTCACCTCCTCTTGCCTCCTGGGGTATGCATTAGCAGGAAGGAGGAGCCCAGACTAGAATGCCCGCACTCTGACAGGGCATGGGATTGGCACACATGGTGCCTTAACCACTGCATCAAACCCACCTTACAACCACACATTTGGGGCTGGCACATTGAATCAACAGGCTAATCTTCCACCCTCATGTGCCACCATCCCATGTGAGTGTTAATTTGAGTCCTGGCTGTTCCACTTTCCATCCAGATCCCTGCTTGTAGCCTAGGAAGAAAAGCAGTCAAACATGGCCCAAGTACTTGGGTCCCTACATCCACGTGGGAAATTCCAAAGAAGCTCCTAGCTCAGCAATAGCCGTTGCACCAACCTGGGGAGTGAATCAGCAGGTGGAAGATCTTTCTGTCTCTCATTCCTGCAAATCTGCTTTTCCAATAAAAGTAAGTAAATCTTTAAGAAAAAAATCTTTAGAGCCCAGCACGGTATCATAGTGGCCAAAGTCCTCACCTTGCATGTGCCAGGATCCCATATGAGTGCCAGTTTTTATCCCAGCAGCCCTGCTTAACATTCAGCTCCCTTCCATCTTCCATGTGTTGATTCACTACCCAAGGGGCTGCAATGGCCAGCGCTACGCCAATCTGAAGGCAGAAACTCAAAGCCTCTTCTGGGTCTCCCATGCAGGTGCAGGGTCCTAAGGCTTTGGGCTGTCTTCCACTGCTTTCCCAGGCCACAAGCAGGGAGCTGGAGGGGAAGCAGGGCTGCTCGAATACAAACCAGCATCCATATGGGATCCTGGTGCATGCAAGGTAAGGACTTTGTCTGTTAGGTAACCGCGTTGGGCCTTAGTTACACATTTTTAAAGGCAATCTGCTTAAAACTCTTCGGTACCCTTCCATATAATCAAATACTTTACTCTCTCTCAAATTAAATGCTTCCTGGCCTGTGGATGGAGCTAATCTAGGCTGTCTACCTAGCCCCAGCCAAGCTCCTTTCAACTTACCTTGAACTTTTCTTTTGACATGAATAATGTTAAGGAACCACTGAGACTCCAGCACTAATTATGTGCCCACTCTGATAAAACAGAATCTTCAGCTAATTTGCCATCAGAATTTAAAGGAGATAAAACATCCACAGAATGAGTTCACACTGAGTGTCAGTGAGTATTAGGAAAGAGTCAGGCAACAGAGGGGTGAAAGTCGTAGGGAATTAGTTGGCTTCTATCAATCACACTGATGTGGAAAAGTCGCCTAAATCTGAACAAAGTACATCAAGAAGCAAAAATAGGAGAAGCTAACACGTGGATGGAGATGAGAGTGTTAAGTCAGTACGTAAGAAAAGTGGAGGTGGAGTGGAGAGAGCACTCATTTAAAAATCTAAGAAAATGAGAATTTTTTTTAAATGAAGGTGTGATTGAATAAGTCACAAGAACTTATCCTTCCGATATCTGCCTGTGTTTGAAATAACTGAGAAGACATTGATGATAGGATTTTGTATGCTACTTTTGACACCTGATACCACAAAACAATCATTTGTTTTTCATGTAACCATTGCAAAAAAGAAATAAATCACTTAAAATCTTCCTAAAGGTTCCCGGTACGTGATTTTGTATTCACCCTACTAATTCTACTTGTGTCTAGACCAATAACCCAAGATAGAAAAATGCTTATATATAATAAGTTTTCATTAAAATATTATTTGTAGTACTAAAATAATGGAAATAGTGGGAAGTCCCAATAATATATAAAATTCTTCTAAATCCATAAGATACACTACCCTGAAGTCCTTAAAAATTGCATTTTCTAAAAATGTTTGCCAGGAAAGGGCCATGATACACACTGTAATGTTAGATATATAATGCAGGATATGAAACTGTATTTTTTTACAGTTTTTATAGTTCACACATATAAATTCATATGCAATCAGATACATCAAAAGCTGAAATGTTATTCTGAAAGTATTCATCCTAATTATTCCCAGGTGGTAAGACTCAAGTCATTTCTACATTTTCATCATCACATCATTCCGTAGTTTCTAGACATCGTAACTAAGCATTCATTTCTTTTTTTTTTTTAATCTAGACGGGAACAATAGTATTGTGAGAAAACCTCTTAATTGAGTTAACATACAAAAATCATTTTACTTTCTAAAAAGGACCGGATAAGTCCTTATACATGAATGATAGCTGTACATAAATCAGGATTGTGTGACAGTCCTTAATTAGGTGGAAATAGTAGTACTTAAAAAAAAAACTTACTTGGGTTAAATTTTAAAGCTTCGGTTTCATAAATCCCCACCTAAGTGCTAGAGCTGTCAGACCCTGTAGATCCATCACTGCGTCTCTGAGCCAAGCCTTGGATGCCATTTTGGAATGTTATTTCACAACTTCAGCCTTGAGAAGCATAGGCATGAGGAAGAATTAATTATCTTTTACAAACTCTCCAGGTTGAAACCTATTTTCCCAGAGACTTTATTTATATTTCCATTCTTTAGCCAGGCCATTTCAGTCCGTTCACAGAACACCCAGAGGAAAGGAAAGACACAAGTGTCCTGTGAAGAGTCTGAATGGATTCCACACCATCAACAACACAGCCAACCTCAAAGACAAAGGCCATCCCCCATTCCCAAGGGCACCTGGAAAACAAAGGAGTCGGGATGGGTGGAGGCCCTAGGAAGAACTACACTGCTCTAAGATCAGACACCTGTCCCATGCGATGCTCTTCTTGTTCATGGATGTTCTAAACGCTGAGCCAGAGAGACCGACCTTGGGCTTCGGAGCTCAGATGCTGGTTGAGACACCTGCATGCCACAATGGAACGACTGGATTCAAGACTCAACCTCTGGCTTCTGATTTTAGCTTCCTGTTGCAGCAAATCCTAGGACTCAAAAGATGATGACTCAAG